GATAAAATCGGACAATGACCACGCCCACATCCCATATAACGGCAATTAAGAGAAATACGAAATCTTCGATAAATCAGTAAATACTAAAGCCAATTTATTCAAAATTGATGTTTGCAATAACGCTTTAACAAAAAATACGTTTATAATAAAATTTTGGAAAATGGGCGTGGCACCACTCACTTATGACCAGGTATGTATATCTCGGTAATCGTTCGATCAATTTGTACCAAACTGGGTACAGTTATTTCGCTTACCACATAAAAGCAAAACGTTAGAAATTATTGAAATCGGACTAAATTTACTCCCAATTTTCATATAACGGTAAATTTTAGAAATTCTTGAAACTTCGATATTTCCGAATATAAATAAGTAACATTATTATAGAATTTCGGAAAGTGGGCGTGATACCGCCCACATCGAACCATATAAGTTTATCTCATTAAGTATAACTGACCATACTCTCAAAATTGTTAGAAATAGGGGTAAAACCACTGTTCTTACCATGTAACGGTTGTTTTCAGAAAAGTTAAAAACTATATTTAATACTTGCGCCGGGTATTTAATGTTCGGCTCCACCCGAATTCAGACTTTTTTAATTGTTTGTTAAATATTCACCTGAATATCTTCTCGGATAGCCAAGCGGCCATTGAGGTACTCTCTACTACCTCTGTTAGATCTCAACTAGTGGAAGGCTGTAGGAGAGAGTTGGCCCATATATCTGATCAATACGAAATTAGCCTAATATGGTACGTGGCAGCGGACGAACTTGCAAGGTGCGGCTCCGCACTGAATGTGTCCCACGCGGTGGACATGGGAGATAAAAGCAACAATTACCGAAATTTATCACTCGAAGGCCAAGCAGAAGGGAAACCATATAGGATCGTACAGGATTACCCGGCAGTTCTGGGTATCCTATGACCCACTTAGACCAAAGCTCGCTTAGGAATGAGCAAAGAAGATACCTATTAACTTACTGCACTGTGCACAAGGCACTGATCCTTTGGTGTAGTAGTTGCGATGTTTCTGACAGTTGAACACTTCCTGTGCGAGTGTCCAGCAAGCCATTCCTGCAGAATGTTTTAGAGTGAAGCTGCCTCTCTCTGTATGACGTACCGAAATTCATTAAAGCCGCCAAATGGCTTTAGGTTGCACGAGTTGTGGAATCAAAATGACAAACTTTCTGTATCTAACTGCTTGATTATAAACTAATTTTATCCATAAATATGTATTATATTTTCGTTATTTTCTTGTTAAAATACATGTGTAATGTAATTGCATATTTTATATGTGTATGGCGCATGGAGTCAAGAAATAAAAACAGGCGTACTCTCAGTTTTTACACGAGGAAACTTTGGTGACACAGCACAGCGCAGTTTGCACAGTTTTTATTTTCTAAAAATGAAATATAAGTCTTAAGGTTCAATGAAATACAAAAATATTCTTACATTCGTTTTGATCCCTTATCCCCTTGCTAGTTGAATTTAAAATGGCAAGAACACACAAATCAGTGAACACAAAAATTAGCGATTACAAACATATAGATATGACACATTTCAATTTTTTCCAGCAGGAGCAGTGTTGCCAGAAGGGCCAAATTTTAAAGGGTTTAGGGTAGTATCAAACGCAAACGATAATTTAACTATTAAATCGAATAGATTTGCCAACATCCCGGCCTCCGTGAATCTAGACAGATTCACTAATGTCCAATTTCGCCAACAAACAAGCGGGCCGTTTAAATATCCCCGCCCGGGTTCGAACCTCTGCACTTCGGACCTGTAGGTCCTTACCAGGAAACACTTGAGTGACTAAGCCCAGCGGCCATCGAGAACGATGTATGTTGCTATCCACAACTAGCACGACGTCTCCAACACGCAACGGTTGTACAGGCTGATACCATTTGGTCCGACGGCACAGATCCGGGAGATACTCGGAAATACATTTCTTCCAGAAACGGTGCTGCGCTTGTTGTACCTTCCTCCATTGCTTTCTAGAAGCACGGTGCTCCTCTTCCCGTGGATGAGGCGTCTGCTCGGTGTTAGCTGTACCTAAAAGAAAGTGATTCGGGGTTATGGGTTCGTCGGTGGGGGTGTCTATTGGTATATGGGTTAGCGGCCGCGAGTTAACCATATTCTCCGCTTCACACATCAGGCTATAAAGGCAGTGCTCTTGTAGGTTTTCGTTATAGAGCGCATGCCCCATGGCTCGTTTTACGCTGCGCACTAAACGCTCCCAACATCCTCCAGCGTGAGGGTTTAACGGAGTGTTGAATACCGATTCTATGCGTTTGTTCGCCAAATTGTCAGCAATTTTTCCGGAGTCAAAATCAGCGAGTTGTCTTTGAAGTTCGTTGTCCTCTCCGATAAAGTTCGTAGCGTTGTCGGAACGTATGCGAACAGGGGTTCCTCGTCTACTCGTAAAGTTTCGTATACATAGCAGGCAAGAGTCCGTGCTAAGATCTCTAGCAACTTCCATATGTACTGCGCGAGTCGTTAAACAGGTAAAGAGCGCAATCCAACGCTTCTCTTTGCGCCGACCTATGGTGACGAAAAAGGGCCCCATGTAATCTAGGCCTACATAGGCAAATGGCCTCACAAATGGCGTCAACATATCCTGCGGCAACGGACCCATAAGCGGGGTTTCGGGTTGAGCTCTATTAATTTTGCATTTCTGACATTCTCTCGCAGCACGTCGCTCTGCTACTCGCATGTGCGGTATCCATAATTTTCGGCGTATTCCGGCTATTATTGTTCCTTCGTTTTGGTGTTTCCACCGGCGATGATAAAGGCTAACAATCAGATCTGTGACGTGGTGTGCTCGAGGCAAAATAACGAGCCTTCGAGTGCTTACTGGAATTGTGTACGCGCTGTCGATTCGTCCCTTTACACGAATTACACCCGCATCATCCATATAGGGGGAAAGCGTCAATAGTTTACTACTGCGTTCTAATCGCTTATTCATGCTTAAACTTTTGTACTCCTCGGGATAGGCAGCCTTCTGTGCAGCTCGACAAATCGCAAGTTCCGCGTTTTCTAACTCATTTGGGGTTAGTGGTCCACACCTCTTGTCCCGTGGAACGCGCTGACTGTTATCGACTCTCGTAAGGCGAGTGAAACACGAGAATCTTTCCCAGAAGTTATATTCTGCATGAGTATATATCTATTGTAGATTGACAACAGGATTTTATTCTGGTAGGTCAACGTGTACTAATTTAGCTTTAGTAACAAATGAGATAGTTCATCCTTTTGAGAATCGGTTTGAGATGAAAGATTTGAGTGTTTACTTTGACTAGGGCTAAAACGATACCATGGAAGTATCGATACCTGTACTTGGAAGTAGCATCGAACGAAAGTATCGATACCTACTAAGTATCGGGCTAAAAGTATCGATACCTACTTATATCGATATTTATACCTACATGTATAAGAATTGTTTGTATAAAAGTATGCTCTCACATATCTATGAATTTTCGCCAAAATAACTTATGTGACTATAATTTATGATTTTAGGCGAATGGAAAAACTTTAAGTTTTAAAACATGTTTCACTAGGATGGCCTTCCAAAATACAAGAAAAAAGTGCAAAGTCCAATAAGTTGTGTTTTAAAAAGTCCACAGAATTTTGTTAACAGAATTTGCTTCTTTTTTATGTATGTATTTTATTTTTTATACATAAATATTTATTTTGTACAAAGACAAAGCGATCGAGATCAAAAAGATTTATTTTATAATTTATTTCATACAAATTAATTAATTATTAATAGTTATCTGTATAACAACACTGTTCAACAGCATTTTTGCGGAGCAACAATGGTATATTTCTGAAAGAAGTAATCATGTTGATAATTATCATGCTATAATTTTTGGAGGGCAAAATCATAGTGTAGTGTTGGCATTCATATCGCTAACTTAGAGTGAAAAGTTGCTAAGTCCATTTTTTGAAAATTTTTTAGGGAAGGAAAAAACTTTTCAAGAATTTTGCAGAAGGTTCCGTTGCAAATTAAAAGGTTTAGAATTTTGGACTAAGGTAATTTGCCTTTAATTGAATATAAACGAGAAGAAATAAAACGTTAGCACGTTAATTACTCCTTTTAGAGACGTTACGTTTTTTATTTACCTTGCTTCCTACATCCAAATATGAGTTTTCACCAAAAGTGGACTTAGAAACTTTTCGCTTTAAGCAAGCAATATGTTAATGAGATGATAATTAGTGTTTCTTTTAGGACTTTTTTCATTGGCAACTAAACTGCCAAACATTTTTAGCTATTCACAATAATAATTAGATTAAAAAATAAAAGTCCGCTAATAAAATTGTCACTGAGTCGGCTTTCGATACAAGTACTTTCTTGCGATACCTACTCCGTACTCGGCTCAAAAGTATCGATACCAAAGTTACTTGGTATCGGATGAAAAGTATCGAGTATGTACTTGTATTTACTCATGATGCAATAATACAAGGTGGTATCAGTTGTGACAGCTCGATTTGACACTACCTTAGCTCAGTAGAATGAGAAGAAAAACGGAAAGAAATTAATCCCCATATGGGGGAAAAATATAAAATTTCACATTTTCTCCTTAACAAAATTTGCTTTTTTATAGTATATTCGTTATGAAATGAAATAAAATGAGATAAAATACCTTTTTAAGAAAACAAAGTGTGTATACTGAGAAAAAATAAAAAGCATTCAATTATATTAATGGGCAAAGAATAGTGAAAGAAGTAACACTGTTTCACGTAAGGTAGTCAATATGGCGGAATTAGAGCGAGAAGTTGCCAACTGATAACACCTTGTATTATTGCATCATGGTATTTACTTGTATCGTTTTGTCCCTAACTTTGACTCGAAACTCTTCTTCTCTAAGCACATCGTTTGCGATGATTGGTTTCAAAAGAAGGAACACCGAGGAGTTTAAAGATCGGCACAATAAACCACATTTTTTGCCGTAGTGGCAATATTTTGACATGGTATAAAAAATACACCTTTTGACAGCGATCTCGTGTGACAGCGATCTCCTTGAAGCAGCTGCCGCAGAATCCCAGATAAAGCAAAAACATTAAAGAACCAAATTAGTTTCCCGTGCGTCGCACAGTGCATTCTTTCCATATTCTAGAAAATATTAATTAAATAATGTTATATCGCTAAATTTCAAAAAAAAGATAAAAATGTTTTTGGAAATGCCTGATAAAGACGAAACAGTAACAACTAGAAAATCTAAAACAAAGTGTATGGCGGGACGGATTTTGATTTGGAACATTACCAAGCGAAATAATATTTAAACTTGTGTATTTGAAACTGAATTTCAATGTTAAAGTTGTTGGTGTTTTGTGTTTTAATAAATTGTTAAAATACCATTTTGGTCTTATATTTTTAGATATATCCTTTTTAACGAATATAAATTTAGTAAACTAGGAATAAGTATTTCATGTTAAAGAAAAACGATGTTAACTTAAATTTAATTTTAGCAATGTTTTAATTTCATTACACCCGCAAACTCCCTCTTTCTCTGCTACCGCTAGCGGGTTCAGAGTTGAATACTTTCAGTACTGGAGCGTCGGTGTCCATTCGATCGACATAGCCAAGCCCACGGAGCCGCTGTATTTTGATTCGCTGCACTATGTGCATTTCGTTGTAAAGCTAATTAAGCTCATCGCTCCATCGTCTGCGGTACTCGCCGTCGCCAACGCGTAAAGGCCCGGAAATCGTCCGCAAAATCTTTCTCTCGAATACTCCAAGAGCCTCCTCATCGGATGTTGTCATTGTCCATGCTTCTGCGCCATATACCAGCACGGACAGGATGAGTGACTTATAGAGTGTGGTTTTCGTACGTCGAGAGAGGACTTTACTCCTGAATTGCCTACTCCATCCAAAGTAACACTTGTTGGCACGAGTGATTCTGTTTTGAATTTCCATGCTGACATTATTCTCGGTGTTAATGCTGGTTCCCAAGTAAACGAAATTCTCTACGTAGGTACCAAGACGCGAATGTGCTGACTGATTTTTGATGACACGAGATACTTCGTCTTGTCCTCCTTTACCAACAAACCCATTGGCTTTACTTCCTTATCCAACTTGGAAAAGGCAGAACAAACTTCGCGGTTTTTGTTACCGATGATATCGATGTAATCGGCACAAGCCAGCAATTGCACGCTCTTGTAGTAAATTGTTCCTGAGAGGTTCAGTTCTGCAACTCCAACATCAGATTAAAGAAGTCACATGAAGCCCCGTTTGGTGGCGAGCGGCTTGGGGAGGTCTTTCCCAATTCTGACGGAGCTGGTGGTATTCCTCAACGTCGTTTTACACAGCCATATCAGTTTGTCGGGGATGCCAAATTCAGAGATAGCGGCGTATAGGCAACTCCTTTTAGAGCTGTCGATAGCGGCTTTAAAGTCGACAAATAAGTGGTGAGTGCCGATCCTTTTCTCGCGGGTATTTTCCCAGATTAAGGTCTGTGGATTTGTCAAATGTAAAGCTATACTGATAAGGCCTAATCAGTTCATTGACTGTGCTTCAGCCTTTCATACAATACGGTAACTAGGTCGCCATTGTTGTTCTTACAGGAGTGCGCCCTAGTCTTGGGACCTTCGGTAAGTCGCCTAACTCTCTGGTAAAATTTTCGGGCATTCTTCCTGTCGGCCAGCATTTCAAGCTTTTCGCACTCACGTATTTCGGCCTGTCTCTTTTCTTATTGCGGCAAATACGTCTCGCTTCCCTCTTCAGATCCCTATAGCGGTCCCACATAGCGCGAGCTGCGTCCGATCGCAGCGTGGCCCTGTAGGCGGCATCTTTTTTCCCTGCAGTTTCCTGACACTGCTTATCGTACAAATTGTTCTTTCGGGCTCGCTGGAATCTGACTACTTCCTCGGCGGCGGAACTTAATGAGCGGAAGGTGTGATTCCACTGTTCGCATATGTCGGTTTGTTGAAGATTGCTCACCGAGAGCAGGTGTATGTTGTGATTGCAGCTTTGCGACGTTAAGCTTTCCTTGCATTGCTGATCGATTTGGTTTCTCGGTTTCATCCGAGGCTTTACTTCGCTTCTTCACTGGAAGGGGTTTTTACGTGGCGGGTCCCAAACCCAGCGCACAACCCATTGCTGGGACGGGGGTGGTTTCGCAACCAAATACACGTTTATATAGCGAGCCGCTTGCTTCAGACAGACCCCCGCTTGCAGCCGCACTTACTGGTGAACAGGCTCTGCAGACTTCAGTGAGCCCTTAAACCGAATAAGTCGGAGTGGCCCCACCGAAGCTCCCTCTATTTGTTATACAAATTACAGTTATATAATAGGTTGGCGTGACAGTACCTCTAAATTACCAACTTTTGAAAAAAGTTTCGCCTATTTTATTCCGTACCTTGTGCAAAATTTCATTAATCTATCGTCAATAGTTTTCGCATTATAGAATTAAAAGCAGCTAGATGGGCCAAATCTCACACTGTGCGTCGCCCGTATGCCAGAAAC